CCATTAGATCTATTTAAAAACTTCACATTAATTATGTGGATAGGTATTCCTGCCAAAAAAACAAACGTACGCACGTACGTACTCCCAGTTGCACATCCATTTTTTTTCTCTTTCCTATTTAGATTAGATGAAAAGATGACTAATTCTACCAGACTTACGGGCTACCCTGTAGGCCTAAAACCGTCAGGAAAATACATTATACCGTCAGAAATTATTTTCCTGTGGGTGGACCGACAGAAATTGCCGACAGAAAAATCACCACGGAGAAATTCAATTTTTCTGTCGGTTTCCCTACAGAAATAACAATTCTGTCGGCTTATTCCTGTGGGTGGAACACAGGTAAATTCCATTGTCGTCAGGTTTTTGCCATCTAAATTCCGGCGGGCAACCGTCAGAAAAACCACGTTGGTACCGTCAGAATAATTATCTTTGAAGACAAAAAAAATATAAAACTATAATACAATCCACATGTCAAATGGATTGCTAAACATTACTTTTATCACCACATTATGCAACTGAACTTGTATTTTTACCAATGTATATATGATCTAGCAACACATACAACACATCAATTCTTTCATCAAATTACTTCGCAAGTCTGGGATTATAATCCCTCCGAACACCCCGTGCACAACAAACGTACGCTGACTAATCCCTCCTAACACCCATGCACGCACAAAGGCACGTACGTACACTTACTCCGTGCATCTTCCTATTTTTTCTAGCTAATAATTTAAATTTAGAAAAAAAGTTAATCATTAATGTCCATTTAAATCGGTAGATCCATAATATTAAGGGATCATCTACGTGGAAAACAGCTGAATTTTTTTTGCATTTTCAGCCGTTTTTCTCCTCATCGTTCGATCGGGGTGTCTTTCATCCTATCCGTACGCGAAAAAAAGCTCCCCCGCCGCGCGTGGGGCGATTTGTTGCATTGTCATGTGGGATTTGTTGGCCCAAGGCCAGCAGCTCTCAAGCCGCCATGTGGCATTCTAGAAACGCTCTTAACTTACCACGTGTTACTCTAGCAAATTAGAGAAAAAAGCAAAACATCTAATAGTTGATTTTCACTAATATACAATCAGATTGATCTAAAGAGGAAAAAAGAAAAGGCCCACACCCCACCTCCAGCCATCAAAAGAAAAGGCTCATTATGTATACGTATGTAGTTACGTACCATATACCACACCCTGGCCTCACGTGATGCACGAGGGAGACCTCCCCTCCTGTTTTCAAGCAATTATTATATATATAGAAAACATATTTTCTGATAAAAATTTTAAAACAACTGTATTGTCTAAATCATAGAGCTGATTTTTTTATTCGTGCATGTCATGGGATTATTTACAATAAAAAGTTTAGAATTCAATTTCCAAATTAACTATATTTAACAAGTACAATAAATGTATTACTTTGGATCCTATATGGCAAGAGACTAGCTATTGGTCACTCCATACATTTTTAGAAAAACTCACATAGATTTTTAAACCATATGATTAGCATCATTTAGCTTATATTAGAAAATACAACACCTGACATATTTTCTCAGTGATCTAAAATTATATCTATCACTAAAAAATAAGAAATAGATAACTCAAAATTGAGACCTGTTGGAATATAAATCTCCGGCCCTATTCCCGCTGTACCTATGGTTCTCTCCCTTCTTACTCCCCTCCTCCTCTCTTCTATTTTTTTTAACTAACAACATAATATAAAACAACGTACCTAAACGATTTATAGTATCTAAAATTATATTTGATTTTTAATTTGTTTGAACCATTTTTTATTTACAATTAATTAAATAATTAAAGATCCATTATAGCTGTATTTTACTATACAAAAATTAAAATACTCTGCATGGAAACTAAATGACAATGGAACATTATAATTTAAAAGATCAAAATATGTACTATGTCATATTAAATCATTCTACATAATAAAACCAATTAAACAGCCTTTAGATCACACTTAAGTCACCATATGTCACGTCTTAAAATTACAAAATATTTCAATTAAATCAATGACCAATTATTTTTAACTATTAGATCTAATTTTAAAAAAAAAACTTACGCTGCCACGTATTATGTCCTAAAAATCATAAATAATCTTAGAAATTATGAGAAAAATAATGAAACCTATCATTATTGGTTTTAAGTTACATTATTTAGAAAAGGTTAGAAAAATAAATCCCATCCACCTCTTCACCCCAATCACATGCGCACATCATTGCATGTCCCCTCCCTATATTTAGCTATTAAAATATAAGAGAAATAATCAATAATTTTAGATATTAAAACAACCATAACTTTTAAGTTACACATCTTATTTCCTATATACAAAATATCGCATTTAGCCATATTCGACCCATGCGCTTTGCATACCATCCAAATATAATCGAAATACCTCAAACAAATTGACTGCATATATTACGTCATTTTACATCATTCCGTAAACATGCATAGCTAAATTAAACCAATAGTATCCAAATAAAAATTACAAGTGAACTGTCGTACATTTTATTATTGAGGTGGAATACCCCTGCCCTTTTACATGTCATTTGAATTGCCATAAAAGAATTTTGAAATGATCTAACAACACAGGTTGCATCATCATATGTTGTTTTTGCAAACACGTGTAGCTAAATTAGATATACACTATCTAAGAAAATAGAACTAACTATAAAATATGAATAGTCCAAAGAAAATCCAATTCCTTAAAGAAAACCGTAAACAACCAGTTTAGCTAGGTCTTACGTTTTCACCAATGGACCCAAAACATTCAACTAACAAAAGAAAAAAATGACTTTCTTTGAATTTATACTTAATTTATTTAACATGTTTTATAAACAAACTAAGTCTTAAATGATGATGAAGATTATATATAATTGCTTATACAGTTAAATTAAATATTATATGTAATATAGGTTAGAGAAATTATCAAAGCGATACGGACGATGAATATTTGTCGAGGAAACATACTCTCAAAACATTGCAGAGGCTATTCGATTAATATGATCCATTCTCAAACGCTGCTCACGATGCATGCCCGCGTGAATACGCGGGCTATCTTCTTAGTTCATATATAATTGATCAATAGTGTAGCACGATCACATCGAACGCTCCATCTCGATCACCAGTATCACTCTTAATTTGGTTAAGGCCATAACATATCGGCTAATGGCGACGTTGCAACCGCTCCGAGTGTAGCTATACCTGGCCGTCGACGAACCGTGCATAGAAACACAATCAATTTTGATCGATAAATGCATGCGCAAGTGGATCCCGTGGATTAAAATATCTCTATGTTCTCTGCACGGGTTTTATTGACCGCAGATCGATCGTGTGTGTGCGATCGCGTCTATATATACACACACACTAGGGTGACGCTAGACAATTTTCAATATACTTTTTTCGACAATCAAACTAGAAGTAAAAAGAAAAAATTAATAAAACACTAGGGTTTATCAGTACTTATCATGAAACAAACAAATGGTACACACGCTTTAATGAGAAACATATTGATAAGTATATGCTAAATATTATAAAATGATAGATATATTTATTAAAATGTTATGGAAATAATGTGAGGATGATGATTGGGTATCTTGCATTTTTGATTTGTAGAATTAAATAGATTGTAGATGATGTTGCATACTTGCATGAGGTTAAATATGTAATTATTACTAGTGGGTGATGATGTGGAAGGGTTGTTTATTGAGTTTAAACTTAGTATGTTGTAATTTTATAGAAAATACAGATATGTAGCATCAACCTATCTAAAAACACATTAAGCAAGCTGACTTATAAATGACATGTGAAAATTGAAGACATGCATGTTTCTCTTGAGAGACGAAAATCCACCTCCTCGATATAAGAAGTGCTATCCACTACTCCCTCTCCCCCTTATATATAAGTGATTTTGGTAGGATATGTCACATCCCTCCAAAATCACTTATATTATAGGACAGAGGGAGTAGAAGCTAGCTAAGGAATTCAGCCGTCAGAAAGCAAACGTCAGCAACCGCACTAGTATACTTATAACCCCAGCTAGCAGGATTATAGTATAACTATACATAAATTAACTACTATTGGGGGAGTGGCTCCGGATTGACGGAGTTCATCTCCGTCAAGTAGCTTCTATCCCGGAGCTACCCCCATCCTGGGAAAACGACCGAAGACAGCCTGGAGCTCCCATGGCCATCATGCCTCCGAAGGCTGGCCAAGGGCACCAGAGCCTATCAGCCCAGAGCCCATCAAACCCCCGGATCCAACCAAGGGCTCCAGAGCCCATTAAGCCTCCAGACTCTAGAGGCTATCAGGCCCGCTTGATGCACCTGGCCTTCGGAGCCAACCAAGGTCTTCGGAGTTGGCCAAGATTACGGAGCGCTGAGGAAGCCCCAGGCCGGAGGCGAAGGCGGACCCCGAGAGCGCAGTGGGCCGTAATAAATACGCACTACGCACCCGCCAACCATATCTGGCGTCATTACAGGGACGGGCCAGCACAGGCCACTACCCGGAAAGCACGGCTTTGCCCGGGTAATAGCCAGCACCCTCGGGAGGCGTTATCGCCTTCTTAATGGGCGCAGCCATCCCTGTCATTGGGGATTTTACTAAAAGCTCGAGGGCGGGCCCACCGGCCAGCCACTCTAGATTGGCCCATAGGACTAGGGTGCAATAATGAAATTTCTTCTTGTATACCCCAGTATAATTATGAAAGCATTGCTCACAGTTGAGCACATTGAATACAGAATACAGCTTGAGTACACTAGTTGGATTTGTTCCAACAACTACTACCTTTGTTTTTTAATACATAATATCGTTGACTTTTAATTGTTCGTCTTATTAAAAATTTAGTGTAAATATATAAAATATAAGTTAAGATTAGAGTTCCTTTATGATAAAATTAACAACTCACGATACAACAAACGACATGTATATAATTTTTTAATAAGATAAATAGTTAATCGTCACGATAAAAGTTAATAACGTTGTACATTAAAGTTTTTTAATGTAGTATTAACTAATTACGTAAGAGGATTGGTACATCATAAACAGTATACATATAGTAAAAAAACGAATGGAGTATTAATTACCACTGCATGCCACTTATTCAAAACATATAGTACTTGCCTTAGATAAGAGATCGGGAGTACAACCAAGCACACACATGAACACATGTGGCGTGCGGTAGCTATATGTTATACATGCATGATTGATTGATATCTATCAGAACTGGTAGACGACGCCCTTGTTCTTCTCCTCCTGGTCCCGATCCTTGGTCTCCTCCTTGCCGATCAACCTCACCACCTTGTCCGCCGCCTTCTCCCCGGTTGCCGCCTCGTACTTCTTTTCCTGCATGCATATGCACAATACTAAGTTAGAGCAAGAACAGTAGACAGTTTAAGCCGATGGTAATGCATGCGTGCAAGAAGAAGTGATGAGCTAGAAGAGGAATAAGTGGAGAGAGTATATGCGTCGGTGATTAATTTGCCGCCGGCTCCAAACACATCCCTAGGTGAGACGGACAACACCAGCCAGTATAGAAACATGGTTGTGAGGTCCATGTGAGAGCATATGTGTGTGAAAGCTAAATTAGAAAAATATAGATCAATCTATTGGAGTTCATGCCAATAGCCAACTGCTATATATACGGTCTCTTGATCACCTCCAATCTGATGTGGCGCTTTTAATCGTCGGCAGGTTGTATACACTATTAAACCTGCTCTTATTATAATACTTCATTTGTTTTATAATATATATAGTAATCATTTGTTCTATAATATATATAGTAATCTATAGCGGGGATAAGACACTACATATGTAACGAATCTGGCACCACCAATTCCATCCAAATTCGATGCACTATATATGTATATTTCAATCTTAGACTGTTATATTATAAAACGGAGAGATTACTATACAATTACTTTCCTACTAAGTAGCACTAAATATTTCTCTCTCTCTTTTCATAGGCTTCCAACAGGGATGGGGGCAGGCCTAGGGCAGGGCCTAAGCCCTAGCGCTGCCTTCAAAAACATACTTAAATTTTATTAATTCACCGTGTAAATTTTTTTAGAAAATTAATACTTCATTAGTTGAGCCCTATCTTGGAGCTAGTTTTTACCTCCGCCACTAGCTTCCAAGTCGTCATCAAATAAATAACTAAGAACCGTTAGACTCGTATTGATCTAAAACACACAACCGTTCGATTTCATACACTCCTAGCTCCACCGGCCCACCGGCTCAATTCACCGACCTTTTATTTATGGAAACGAATTGATTATATATAGTTCCCAAACAGGGCAGCTCACATGTATGATTTGTTCTGTGATTAATATAATTTGATTTAAAGATTTAGTACAAATGTTATATGTGTGAGGCGTCCATCAGTTCAGGATTGGTCATCATATTTGTTCAATCTAGGTGCATAACACAAAACCGCATATCACTGAAATTACGCAATACTAAAATTTATCCACACCCACCTTGTTATTATTCAGCACTGTAATTTCAATTGACAATGATTTTGTATCATCTCTGTAGAGCTTAATTAGTTTGCTAGCTGTTAGCTTTCTGCTTGATGAATCCCGTTGTCTTTCCATAATCCATAGCAATAACGTGGGGTATGGTATCATCTACTAGCAGCTAGTTGAATTAAGTGAAACATTAGACTCTGATCGCATATTTAATTAGCTGGAGTAGTAATTTACTCCCTCTATCCCAAAATAAGTGCAGTTTTGCACTGTTTATATTTAACGTTTGACCGTTCATTTTATTTGAAATTTTTTTATGATTAGTATTTTTATTGTTATTACTCCATCCGTTTCACAATGTAAGTCATTCTAGCATTTCCCACATGTATACTGATGTTAATGAATTAATTAACATCAGTATGAATGTAGAAAATGTTATAATAATTTACATTGCGAAACGGAGGAAGTAGATGATAAAACATGAGTAGTACTTTATATGTGACTAATTATTTTTAGTTTTTTCATAAATTTTTCAAATAAGACGGATGGTCAAACATTAAACATGGATATTCATGACTGTATTTATTTTGGGACGGAGGTAGCAGCTGATAGTAGTAGTAGTAGTAGAGTGGTACGTACGAAATAGGCCGTTCCAGCCTGAGCGACGGCGCCAAAGTTGACGTACTCCACCAAGTCGTCGTCTATGCGGATGTGGCCGTGCTGCTTCGCCGCCTCTTTCCCGTTCGTCTTGCCGGTGTCCACCGCCGCCGCCTGCTCCTCGTCGACCTTCTTCTGCTGGGGCAGGTACTCGTCCATGGCTAGCTCGATCGATCTAATTATTATCAGGATGCTATAGCAAAGTTTTGGAAGAAGAAGAAGCTAGCTGCTACCTTATTATATAGGCTCGGTGATTGGGACGGAGAGAGTATTTAAAAACATGTGTAATCATACCCCATCAACTGCGTGCCCTACTCCATCACATCATACGTCCCATCTAAATCTGGTTTAGGTCCCAACTTTTTCTTCAAATTTTTAATTTTTCTATCACATCAAAACTTTTCTACACACACAAACTTTCAACTTTTCCGTTACATCGTTTTAATCTCAATCAAACTTCCAATTTTTGTGCAAACTAAACTCGCCTTAGCCCTGTTTATATTCCAACTTTTTTTTCTTCAAACTTTTAACTTTTCTGTTATATCGAACTTTCCTACACACACAAACTTTCAATTTTTCCGTCACATTATTCTAATTTCTTCAAACTTCCAATTTTGACGTGGAACTAAACACAGCCTTAATTTGGTTTGTACGAGTAAAGTAATATTACCTTTGTTTCATAAAAAACTAATCTATATTGACACATCCTAATACTACGAATGTAACGAGATTCATAGTATTAAGATGTGTCAACATCTACTACTAGATTGATTTTTTTACGGAGTAGTACTCCCTTCGTTAAAGTGTGTGTTTTTCACTCTTTTACCGTACTAATACAAACAAAAATATTCTTACTTTATCAGATTTTAATATAATTATTTCTTCTTTTATTTATTTTAAGTGTATTTATCTTTACTTTTATAAACTTGGGTACAATGATGATGGTTAAAAATAAATTTATTTTAGAAGAGACCGAACGAGGAAAAAAAATGGAGTAACATATATTGGGTGATGGCGACGTTGCACCAGCTCCGGGCGGTCACTACGTGGCCATCGACGAACCACAGAAACGCAATCAAGACCGATCATCGATAAATTCATATACCATGGATTAAATAAGAGTGTTGTTGTTTCGACATACAAATCCTCATCGATAAGAATAATTTACAAATAACACTCAAAAGCAACTACTCTAAAGCTAGCTATTTTCAGAGGGAGTTGTTACTTTTATATTTTTTCTTAAAAGAAACTTCAAACGATAGCAGATTTGCTGGATATGTTAGGAGGAATAAAAACATAAAGTCTTACAGAGATCTTTTGAGAAAGGAACACATCTAAACAATCAAAGTGATTAGACTTAGATCAAATCAGGTCAGTGGATCGACTATCTGTCGGCAATCTTCCCCAAGTCGAGCCGACTACAAGGTTGAAGCGAAACTGCCCTTTCCTCTCCCACGGCCGAAACTTTCCTCTCCCCATATCTAGATCCGCCCTGCCATCGCCAGAGCTGACCGGCGGTCTACGCGGCGGATAGGATGGCAGCGGCGGGGAGACAGACAGCGGAGAAGTTGCGGTGGCGGTCGGACGGCCAGACTCGTGCCTGGCCGCGTGGGTTGGCGGCGGCAACGGAGGTGGCCGGGCGGGTAGCGGTGAAGCGGCGGTGTTCCTCCGGGCGGTGGTGGGAAGGCGGGCGGCGGAGGCGCTGCGGTGGCAGTCGGAGGTGGCCGGACTCGTGCTTGGCTGCGAGTGTTGACGGTGGCAACGGATGTGCCCGGGCGGGTAGCGGCGAGGCGGCGGCGTCCCTGCGGGAAGCGGAGGTGTTGTGGTGGCGGTCGGAGGCGGTCGAACTCATTAGCCGCACAAGCTAGCGATGACAGTAAAGGTGGTCGGGCACGTAGCGGCGAGACGAAGGCAGCGACATCTCTTCGGACGGTGGCAGCCTGAGCGTTGACGGCATGTCCTCAGGAAGGAGATGGTGGTTCCAGTGAAGGTAGCCCTAGGGATGGCGGTAGCCTGGGATTCAGGGTGAAAAGGACTTCCTCAACTATGGCAGTGGTAGCCCTATAGGGGCAGCAGCAGCCCGGGACGGCGGGGGCCTGAGCGCCGGTGCAAGGTTCTCTGCAAGGCGGAGGTGGATCTTGGCGGCGGCGGCGACCCTAGGGACGATGGAGGCTTGGGAGTCTAGGCGGATGAAGATATCCTCGACGACGGAGGTCTAAGTTTTCAGCAAATGGACACTGACAGAGGCGTCCAAGGGCGGTGGTGGGCTAGGAATCCGGGAGGCGAAAAAGGATCCCAACGATGGCGACAGCCCGACGAAGGCCTAGAAATCATACGAAGTGGAAGCAGATCCCTCGGCCTACATCTGGTCAGCTAGTTCTGACTTGGACGAGGATGGATGATGGTGGGCTAATCGGTGGCGTGTGGCGTTAACTCACCTGAAGCGAATGAAGATGGCATCAGCAGAGGTTCTCAGCGACGACGCACTAGGGGTGGTGGTGACTTGAAGACTTTCACTAACGGAATCTGGCCGTTTCAGCAGGGTGTGGTGAGGTGTAGGTTTTCTTTTTCTGGTTCTATGTTCTCATCGTTGAGGTGTGAGTCTAAGTGCTCTTGTATCTTTTTGGCTGTGTATATCTTTCATGGATACAAAGGCTGGATAAATGAAAATCCATTATCACAAAAAAAAAAGATTTACACCAAATCAAACAGACCGTAGAAAGGATTGATCACGCTTAGCCAATAATTCTTTTATTGATCTATTAAGCTAATATTTTTCTTAATTTGGAAGACGACTTTTCTTTCATTTTTTGATGTTTGTTGGAAGATTCTTCTGCTGCATTCCAACCAGACGTTCCTGTTAGGATACGCATAGGCTACGGTAGCATAAATTAAATTTTTTCTACCGCGTAAACCAGGACCCATACATGTATTAGATCATAGATCATTATCATTCGACGCGCTGCGCAGCGGAAGAAAGCGATAAGAAGGCGAAGGAACCCTCAGGATGTAGCGCGCGTCGATGTAGAGGAAGTAGTTGACCGCACCAGCTCGACCTTCTCCTTCTCGTGCGTTCTCCTCGCCGTACTCCCACGCTGATCAACACCGCAAAGCAGCGGCTCCTCTACCGGTATTCACATGTATAGGGACGGAACGCCACGCGCAGATGTGCTAGCACATGCGCGCGGCTAGGGTTTTGCTCGAGGAGGGGAGTGGCGGCTAGGGTTTCTCACGTGATGGAATACCTCCGCCGGTCACACCCCTCACAAATATATAGAATCCATGACTCGGGCCTCCAAGGCCCGTAGGACTCCTATTCGGATCCCTATCCGAATTAAGCTCATATTGGATCTCCATCTAATCCCCTTATTCCGGCCCATTAAGCGTGCGACCCTGTAGATTTATGTACACTCGGCTGCAACCCGAAAACTCCTTTTCGGTCTACGTGTCAACAGCGGCCCCTAGCAGAATGTATTGATCGACCGGGCATGCACAAAGATCATCTCGGTTAAACCTCTAGTATATACTTGTATGAACCCCTTTGCCTTACGATATCGATTAAGCTCAAGGCTAGATATGTGCCATCCTCTTCGCATGGATTGAAGGCTCGCTTTATCACCTTATTTGCATATGCTTTCTCCTATAATATTAGGTATATGCTATTTCCATATAATATGAACCATGTATAGCATATAGTATATCTTACTCGTAACACCAACACTATCATGGAGCAGGTGATCGACAAGAACATGGAAGAAATTAAAATGGAATCTTGGAGCATAGGAGGAGCGAGGAGTAACGGTGATCTTGTTTTCTCCCCTTTTTTTAGCAACATTTTTTTATATTTTCCTTGTTGAGAGGAATGGTGATCCTCTGTTTGCTGTCAAATTCTCAATTAGAACAGAAATAACCGCTTAGGCAATATTCTTTTCTCGTCAATATACATATTTTATCTTAATTTCCGTTAGCATGTTTTTTCAAACCACGAAATATACCATTTATGAAAATTTTATATACAAGTCATTTTAAAAATTTAGATAAATTTATTTTTAAGTTTATACTCCATCCGTTTGATAATGTAAAACTTTCTAGCATTGCCCATATTCACACACACACACATATATATAGATATATGTATATACCTAGATTCATTAATATTTATATGAGTGTGGGTAGAAAATCTTACCTTATAAAACGCGGAGGAAGTAATAATTAAAAATCAATTAACCATATTTTACGTATCCGTACTTAAGCTCCATTTTCAGCAAATCACAGCCCATCCCTAAAAAAAAAAAAGCAAATCACAGCCACAAAGGCCCATCCGCCCATGTGGCTATGTCCACGAGGCCCATAACACGCTCGCTCTCCCTCTCTCTCTCCACCACCGCCGGCGCTCGCGATGGCCACGGGGCTCGCCGCGGCGGCGGCCCGCCGCCGCCTCCTCCACCTTCCTCGCCACCGCTGGGCCCACCTCTCCTCCTCCGCTGCTCCCGCGGGAGGGCTGGACGGCGGGGACGGGAGCGGTGGCGGCGGCCGCGTCAAGATCTTCGACCGCGACCTGAAGCGGCGGCACCGGGACCGGGCGGCGTGGGCCATGGGGGAGACCGACGCGCTCGCCGACGCCGTCGCCGACAACCTCCTCGACCGCCTCGAGGACTGCAGGAAGGCGTTCCCCTCCGCGCTCTGCCTCGGCGGCTCCGCCGGCGCCGTCCGCCGCTCGCTCCGCGGCCGCGGTGAGTGAGCTCCTCAAATCTATCTCCTCTTGTTGTTCTTGCGTGACAACCCCTCTACATATGCACCAGTAGAATCGCTGAATTTTTCCAGCTTTTAACTTGATAGGGAGTATGTTGTAATGTGGTGATGGGAGGAATTGGGGTTTTCTTGTGTAACAGGTGGAATTGAGAAGCTGATCATGATGGACATGTCGGCCGACATGGTGAGAAAGTGGCGAGAGATGGATAATGCTACCGATGACGTCCTCGAGACGCAGTTTGTCGTCGGAGATGAAGAATACCTTCCAATCAAAGAAAGGTAAAGATCAATGGGAGCAATGGTTAGTCTTCAGTATGTTAGTTGGTTCCATGTAAATATTATTGAGGGCATTATTATGTTCTTGATTTGTTGATTCTGGCAATCAACCATTCGGTAGTAATGTTATCCACCTTTAGTTGAAAATATGACATTCGTAAATTGGATACGCAAACCAGCTCTTTATCTTTCCACATTTCTACTTAATAAAGGTAATATCATGCAGTTCTCACAATTATTTAGTTTAAGTCAAACAATGTTTCCCGATCTTCCTATCTGCATATTGCTCATGTCATTATTAATGTGGTTATGGTCTCTGAAGCTCGCAGGATACGATAATAAGTTGTCTTGGGCTTCATTGGACAAATGATCTACCTGGAGCAATGATACAGGTGAATTTTTTTTTAGTTTGATTCTTGCTAGCATAGTTTGCAATATACAACTATTCTCAGTTGAATGAACTGGTTATACTTGATGGCAGTGTAGGTTGTCGTTGAAGCCTGATGGCCTTTTTCTTGCAGCAATTCTCGGTGGAGAGACTCTTAAGTGATAACCTAGCAAGCTTTAAAATATTTTGACATTTACCATGGCATCAGCATATCCTAATTATCCTTTGACTTGCCCTTTTCCGGATGCTATAATCAGGGAACTAAGAATAGCTTGTACAATTGCTCAAATGGAGCGTGAGGGTGGCATCAGTCCCCGAATGTCACCTTTAGCACAAGTAAGATTCCTGTGCGATCTGAAGTTTGACCCCAACAGGATATTATTTTGTGCTTCGTACACCTTTTTATGGCATCAGTTTCTCAGAAGCACATTCCTGGCCTTTCGCTTATGAGATAGGACTTGCAACCACTTAACAGCTAGATTGCATCACATTATTGCTTTATCTTGACATATTGGTGTTTATTCAGTCTGATGGTGATATTGGGTTGCACTTTTCAAGGTCCGTGATGCAGGAAACCTTTTGACAAGAGCAGGCTTCACCCTTCCAGGAGTTGACGTTGACCGTTACACTGTGAAATACAATAGTGGTTTGTAAACAAAACTTACCTTTTCTAATCAGTGGTATATTTTCAAGGAAAAATCAGGTACATGCCACTTCAGAGCATTTCTAAATCATATTCAGAGTGGCACGTACCTAACTTTTCCTATTAGAATTAATGATTGGGTATACTTCTTTTTCCTGGAATAATGATTGGTAGTACTATATCTGAAAAGTTCTTTTATATTGATGAAAATTCTGTCATTGTGTTGAACATTTAAACATCTCCATGTGTTGCTTATCTCTCTTGAATCCTGAATTCCTGATATTACTGCTTCTATCGACTAGCTTTGGAACTTGTTGAACATCTTAGAGCGATGGGGGAAACAAATGCTCTCTTTCAAAGAAATCCTGTGAGTATATTATAGTACTTGTCAAATAAATAGGTCAAATTCTAATTCATACTCAGGTATTTGATTTTGTATGTATTTGTATAATCAGATATTAAAGAAAGATACAGCTTTGGCAACTGCGGCCATTTACCAGTCAATGTTTGGGCTAGAAGATGGAACTGTTCCAGCAACCTTTCAGGTTTTGTAAAGTTGTGCTGTATAATATTAATTTTGTTACATCTGAGTATTATTTAACAATACAAAACCCCCATTAGATACTATTCCGACTGAGCCACCCCAATGGTCATCGAATGTTCTTTTCTTGTCTGTGCAGGTTATTTATATGACTGGCTGGAAGGAGCATCCATCACAGCAAAAAGCTAAGAGAAGGGGTTCTGCTACTGTATCATTTAGTGACTTACAAAAACAATTTGGTTCCAATCAGAACTAAACTTTATCAAATGGAAAGATGATGCTAGAAAACTCCTGAAGGATGAATAAATCCTCCTAAGAAAAATTTCTGAGGCGAACCTTAATTTGCTTATGAAGAACTGCACATGGTGTCAGACCTTCAAGAAGTGTTCTCAGTTTAGTTGTTGCTGCTATCGTCCAAAGGACAAAATTGAAGATTTGCCAGAACCACTGAAACTTCATCTTTAGTCTAACCTTCTGCCAGTGTGTCTCAAAGCACTACTTACCTGTGACGTTATAGGGCACAACTTTCTGTTGTCAACGGCTCAATGATGTTGATCATAGCAAGTTTAGAGAATAAATTCTGTAAGTTTGTCGTTCAGTTTCCAGAGGTATGCTGGTTTGATGTAACTCTCGCAATCAGAATTCATGATCGAATGATAATATTTCTAGCACCATTTGCCTGCTTCATTTATCAAATGTCGGATTCTTCTATGTTTTCCCTGTTTTCTGGGAACAATTTGAAACAAAGCCATTCCAGCATTATTATAGATCACTTGGTGCCAACTGGGTTTTGTTCTGTACCTGCTCAGGCAAATGGATGGCCATCGGCAAGGGTTCACTCGCAAGATGTACCATAGCCTTCTGAATCATTCCGTTTTCCATCGACTTGATGCAGAACCACACAAGCACCACCAAAGCAACTCTTCTTTTTCTCCTTTGGATCCAGCTCAGTTTCTCATGCTCCAGGAGAGCAGGGCTCCAAATTAAATAAGGAAAAAATCACAATCCAACTGTTGAAAACCTCACAAAAACTCTTAATTTCAGGTACTGCTATGAGGGGAAAATTTCTATAAATCCAGTCATGTTCTTCAATCTTACATGGTGATTATATCCTACCTGATAACACATTGTTACAAGCTAAAACTCTACGTATGGGCTTTTGCAGCAGCCTGAAATTGCAGGAGAAGATAGGAGGTTGCAACCTCTGAACTCTGGTCCATCTTCTCAGAATTCCAAGGCACCTTCCAACTACTTAAGCTACCTGCCTGGCTTGCTGACACGCGCCTTGCGAACGGCTTCTTGGATCTGCCTCTCGTGCTCCTTGAGCATGTCCTCAACGTTCCCTCCTGGCGGCATCAATGGCCCTGAGTGGTGGATCCTTCTGTACTTCCTCCCATGGTTCTGATCACAACGGCAAATGCACAAGAAATGTGAGATAAAACAAAATCATGGTATACAATCTTTTTATCCTCGTGCAGAATTGCAGGATTTCATCAGTATTTGCTCTAGCAGCAGCAAAGCTATGCTTACCATGCCGTCCTTGACTTCTGGGTTCTTGTTCTCATCATGCCTGTCTGGTGAGTCGTTATGATCAGTAGCTTCAACAGTGCTCCTCAAATCGGTCGCACCAAACTGTGGTATGAGCGAGTGTGATGACCCCTTCTTCCTTATGCCACAAGGATTCGCGACGCGCACTGAGCAGCAAGCGCGGCCAGGTACTGTTGGCTGGTCATTGTCGCCCTCCATGTTGTTCCATGTGGAACTGTACCCAGGGAGCTGCACCGCAGTTGGACGTTCCCGTGGTTCCACCCTAAACCCTGGAACACTGTCCTCTTGGTTGAACACCTCGCTGTTGCTCTTTGAGCTGGTGTGTGTTTGTTGCTGCATGTCAGGCAGAGTTGGTGAGATGAACTTTTGAAAAATATAAATGTTTTGAAATTTGTTAAAGAAAACTGAAGCATTGAGTTTGCAAAAAGATGTTTAGAACCATAGAACAAACATGGCGCGGTGAAAAATACCATAAAGCAACCAAATGTTCTGATATTTATGTTTAAAATGATCGAGTAAATTGAAACTTGGGCAGTAATTTGGATTAGCCACTTATACCCACCTTCAATTCACCATTAACACCACTAATAGTACGATTCGTTACACGATTGTCATTTTCTGGCCTGACAGATTCAGCTCCTTGTCCGGCAAGAGCTGCGGTTTTTTGCCTGCAAGAACAAGAAGTCAGGTGTTGGCACCACATTGAGCTTCACAAGTCACAAGGTTTTTGGCTATGTTGGCAAAGTGTACCTCCTGGCTTCCTCTTGCCTCAGTCTAACATCATACTCCTTGCTTGGTGGAAGTTTTGGCAGGCTTGATGGGTCGCATGCAAATGGCTCTTTTGTGAAAAACTGAAATTGGTTTGAGATATGGTATTAGTGCTACAAATCTGAAGGCATTCCTACAAGCAAAGTATTATAAATGCATAATGTTCACACAAGATGGAACACAGATTTGGTCATTCGTTGATTTCACAAACTGCTAAGAGAATTTTAGTTTCATGTTTCAACTACATTTGCAGCATGTTAGGCTTTTTTTTTTTTAGGAGAACAGCATGTTAGGTTTTGGGTAGGCTCTGCAAAGCTATGTCCCACACTAAACAGAAGATATGCACTGAAGCCTGAAACTCACATCACTTTGAAGAGCTGAGGCAGCTGTTCCTCGAGCTTCTGGGTCTAATGAAAGCAAGGAGTCTATGAGAACAACAGCTGAAGTAGGAAAAACTTTGAAAGTCTCAGCAACACACCGCCTATACTGATGCTGAGGCTTGAACATTGCTGTCTCTGGCACTTTTGATTTCTTGCAATAATCATCCATGGGTGACCCACAGAGCTTAAAAATCTTGTGAATTTGCTCCACCTAGTATGACATTGTTGCAAAAAGGCACATGAGGTTTTGACTAGTACACATAAATCATATCTTTCAAAAATCAAATGTTTTTCCTGGAATTCCACAAGGCAAAACAAGAAATACCTCAGTTCTTCCTGGCATGATTGGTTTTCCAGCAAAGAGTTCTGCCACAATGCACCCTGTGCTCCACATATCAACAGCCACACCATATTCTGTTGCACCGAGCAAAAGTTCTGGTGGTCTGTACCACAATGTCACAACACGGCTTGTCAGCGGTTGTGGATTCTTGGGATCATAAGATATTGCCAGTCCAAAGTCGGCAATTTTCAGCACTCCATTGTTATCAATCAAAAGGTTTGAGCCTTTGATGTCTCTATGAAGAACTCCATTTTTGTGGCAATGATCAAGGCCATGAAGCAGCTGCTGAACGAAGCACTTTATCTGATATTCATGTTTAATCATTTTAGTTCATCCAATTTTCTTAAACGATATCAATGTAAGATGAATTTTCTAAAAAATCCATGTAAGAGAAGCATAACAACCACCTGTGGCTCAGAGAGCTTGAGGCCAGGAGTTGCAATGAGACCAGAAAGGTCATGTTCCATGTATTCGAAGACAAGATACAGGCTTTGCGATACGCGAGATGTTACAATCCCTTGAAGCTTTATGACATTTGGATGATCCAGTGTCCTAAGGATTTTGATTTCTCTAGCCATAAAGCGCACGCTCTCAGGGTCCATGTTGACAAACCGCACCTTTTTTAGTGCAACAATGTTTCCTGTTTCAAGATCCCGAGCTTTGTATACAATACTATAAGTTCCCTGTCCAATCTGCAACTCAAAAAAATCATTCGATTTTTAGAGTAATTTGTATCTCAAGAAATGAAGGATATATATCTGGTGTCATCGAATCAGTATATTTACCTTGTCTAATTTCTCAAATGAATCGGCTCGCCGAGGCACCCAGCCTTCTACTGCTTTTGGTGCCACATTTGCGAGCCAAGCAGGCCACCCAGCAGCTACATGCTCACCTGAGAGCCCCTTCAGTTCTGCATTGTTACCACTACCGGTCCTAACATCTAGAGCTACGATCGCCTTCTCTCCATCACCCAATTGCAATTTACTTGCATTTTCTTTCAGCTGTCCATCAATCACAGCTGAGTTGCCATCATTTGTACCGGTTGCTGTCTTAGCACTTGCTGCAGCAGAATTCCTCGATGGTGTTTTGTTCTCAGAAGTGGCATCGGTATCATCTTTTGCGCCTTTGGAGCAAAGGCAGCCCATAAGCACATAAGATGCCTTCTTGAATGAGTGGATCAAATTGAGACCAATTTTGACAGAGTTTCTTCCAAATATCTGCACTTGACAAGAAATCATCATTGTGTAAGCTTCTTAATCTTCTGATGACCTGATCATACTCTTACAAAACAACACATTTTTCCATGTGGCTGTTCATTTTTCAGGTAATTTGGAAACAATTCACATGTTTCACCAAATTTTAGGACAAAAAAATACAATCGTATCAAATAGAAAACTCAAGTAAGATTTATGGAGAAGTGAATTCATAGAAATAATTAAAATGAACATAAGGCAACAAGGTTGGTGCACAATTAATTTCTTTCTTCCCATCAAACTAACCCAAAAAAACTGTAAAAATGAGAAAAGTAACTAAAGAACACTATTTGGTTAAAAGACTCACCTTGGGGAGGAGGCATGAGTACGCAAATTTCAGCTTGGTGTGAAGGCACATTCCAAAAGCAAGAACAAAGAATCTAGTATTAATCTGTTTTTCCCTTTCGAGAAAACATTATGGGTTCCACCCATTTCAGGTAGGAACAAGTGTGACAAATAGTAAGAAAAACTGAACTTGGATTTACAACAGAGAGATTTCACATTGAGAGTTTGATTAAGTTACTTCTCTCCCTCTTTCTCTCTCGTTCCTAACAAAACACATAAAAAATGGAAAAATTCTCAAAAGCAAAACAGCATACCATTAGAGGTAACTAATAATAGAGTATGAAATGAATGCATGAAGTGAATGAATGGATGGGAGAACTTGAAGAGGAATGGCTCGAATAATTTACCGACAACTAAATATAGTTAACACTTTGGTTTTCTTAAAATAGTACATGACTATGCCTTTATACTCTTTTGTAGATAGAATAACTTGTAACCTTATGTTTACATCAATTAACGAGTTTGTAAATTAAAATAGATGAATGTTGCTACAGATAGAGAGATGCATAAGGAACTCTCTACATTTCTAGCATAAGAAAGACGATAACAAAGATGAATTGATAACACAATGATAATCATATCAACTTCAATAATTACTAAAATAAAGCTCATAGTTTATTATTAATTTTGCTAAAGCAAATTGATGGTGAGAGAATAATCCAACAGTATCATTTACTGTTCAAAATTTACATACAATAGCAAAGATTAATACTTAGTTATCAGCCTAGTGACTAATGACAGGTTAGACGAAAGCAAAGTAACAAATTTCTTGTTAAAAATATGGATGACAACTCGAATGCAACTAACAGTAAATGTTAGACCCTTCTTACATTAATAATTAATTAAGCAAATGGGAATTCTTGAAGTCAGAGTGGCAGATCGTAACTAACTTTAGCATGCCATTGATATTTAATCTTTTCTTGAAAAACGAATACCAAGCTTACCTTTTCAGACAATAGAAAAGGAGTATCAGTCATTTCAACAAATCAAATGTGGCGTTATATACAGATTTACTGCTGTTAGCAATTCAAAGAGGGAGTTGATAAATTAAACAGAGTAGCTTTCAGATCAGCAAACCGATGTGCTTCAGAAGTCCTGTCTGCAGCAGTGAGAAGCCGTATAATGCAGTCAAAATTATGTTCAGACGCTTCCAGATTGTATTCTTGCACCATGGAGTTGAAAATCTGAAGAGCTTCATCATGCAACCCTGCCGCTTCACAGATTCTCAGCAACACATCAAAGGTGCCATTATTTGGAACAAACCTGTTTGACAGCATCCAAGCAAAGAGTTCCAGTGCCTCCTTGTGTCTCTGGTTGATTGCGTAAGCTTCTATTATGGCAGTGCAAGTAAGGGATCCCTTGGACTCAATCCGGTTGAAAACCCGTTGCGCTGCCTTGAGGTCTCCACATGTGCCATACATGCTAACTAGCCCTGCTGCAACTAGGGGGAGAGGTTCCATCCGCAACTTTAACGCTTGACCATGCAATTCCTTGCCAAGTTTTGATGCCCCAATGTCACGGCAGGCACTCAACATCCTGCTGATTGCAACAGCATCAGGCCGGCGGTTTGAGAGCAGCATTGATCTGAACACATCAACAGCAGTTGAAGGATCACCATTCTTTAGGTACGCATCGACCAATGCTGTCCAAGCTTGTACAGTCTTCTTGTCCATGACATGGAACACCCGTTGAGAGTAATCCGAGTGACTGCACGTACCATACATAGTGATCAGTGAAGTGCACAAGGAAATATTTGGCAGGAACCACCTCCGCAAGGCATATGCGTGAAGCTCTTTCCCTTCCCTCAATGCTTTCAACTTCGTACATACTGGGAGCACAGTCCCCACGGCTATAAGATCCGGTCTGATTCCTTCTTGTTGCATCCAAAGTATGCACCTCAGCGCCTGGTCAGGCCTGCCATTGGATGCATAGCCAGACATCAGTGCCGTCCATGAGACAACATTCCTCTTCTTAGCGCTATAGAACACCCGTCTCCCAGAGACCATATCGCCACACTTGCAGTACATATCTACCAACCCTGCCTGAATGTTTCCAACATCCTTACGATGTTGGAACTTCTTCAGCACAAAACCATGGATCTCCCTACCCAAGTTCCAGGCACGCAACTCGCCGATGACAGGCACAACTGACGTAAGCACCACAGAGTTCACCTTGATCCCATCCTCCACCATCCACCGGAAATGCTCCAGCGCCTCCCTCTTCATCCCCTTATGCGCAAACCCGGCAATCACTGCACCCCACGCAACCACATCCCTCTCTGGCATTTCCTCGAACACCATAACCGCAGGCTTCACCTTCCCGCACTTGAAGTACACGTCCATGAGCCCCGTCATGAGCATCCTGGGAGCGCCCGCGTAGGCGTTCTTGATCAGCATCGCGTGCGTGGCGGTGGCCATGGCCATGGACGGCGCGGCGCTCCCGGAGATGGACTTGAGGACGCAGCCATACGTGTACTCGTTGGCGTCGGCGCCCGCGGCGCGCATCTCTGCGAACCCATCCACGACGGCGGCGCCCGCCTGGCCGCGTCCCCGGCGCACGTGCCCGTGGAGGAGCGCGTTCCACGAGAAGGAGCTCGCCCGGGGCAACCCGTCGAGCACCTTGCGCGCGTCCTCCCGGGCGCCGAGCGCGAGGTAGAGCTCGACGAGCCTGGCGAGCAGGAACTCGTTGGAGTCGAGGCCGTGGACGCGGAGGTGCGCGTGGACCTGGCGCGCGTGGGCGAGCGACCGGCACGCGGTGAGCAGCGCGGCGAAGGCCGAGGCCGTGGCGGGGACACCGCGGTGGGAGAGGTGGTCGAGGAGGGCGAGCGCGGAGGGGAGCCTCCCGACGCGCGCCAGCCTCCGGAGCTCCGCGGACAGCGCGGGCGCGTTCTTGGAGTCCGGCCGGAGCTCCGCCTGCGACGACGAAGCGCCCCGCGCGGCCGCGGCGGCGCCGGCGTGGAGCGCGCGGGAGAGGGGCGTCGCGCGGGTGAGGGGCTTGGGGCAGGAGAGCGGCTTGGAGGGGAGGAGGGGGTGGTTTGCGGCGGCGAGGGAGGAGGACGCCATCGCCATGGATGGTGGGGCGGAGGTTTTCGGGAGGGAAGGAGAAGGGGTTAACGGTTGGGAAGGATGGTGGTTGTTGACGACAGACTAAAGAGATTTTTATTAGTTTACTTTTTCAATTTCTTTGCATTTTCTAGAGAGTTTGTTTTTGAATTTCTTGTGCATTTTTACGAATAACATTTTAAATTATGACAAAGAAAAACTCCCTAGCTATAAAGTCAGCTAATGCTCCCTTAGTAGCATCCATTTTGATGAAAGAAAAATGTGTTCTCTGCCCAAACAACCTAAACCGTAAGAGGCCACGTGTCTATCCTTACCTATGAGTATATTGTATACACTAATTTTGTATTGAGTCATTGGGATGAGAGATTGGGGCTGAACTTGGATGGATGATAGCATTGAGGTTGCGAGGATAACGGAGAACGATAGTAGGTAGAGAGTAACTGTCAGGGTTATGGATACCACATACCTAATAGTAGTTGACTAAATCTCGGCAGGACCCACTACATACCATGTCTTATACGGAAACAACCTTCGGATATAGGAGGAGTTCCGCATAAGGAAGGATGAATAGAGTTCTACATGGAAACGACAAGGACTACTCGGATTGTATCAATATTGGTTTTCCTAGTTCTACTTGGACAAGGGGATACCTATGGGTATAAATACAATAGATCAAGACACAAGATCAATATACAAGCCAACATGCGCTAAGACAAGACGCCGGATATCGACTTCAGAGATAAGCATGGCTAGTCCCCTATGGTGTCTACGGATACTGTCAGGAGAGACATAGCGCTGTCTTTGATCTTGCCGGATGCGGATTCGAGGAGGAAGGCTACCATGTTGTCGACTACGAGTCAACACTTCAGACCGCCAAGTCGACAACAGTTAGATTGGCTACCCCAAATATTGTACTGGTGTGATTATGGTGAATAAGAGCAATGACCGGCTTCGGCCAACAGGAGTAGGGTTATTACCTAACAATTCAGGGGCCCGAACCTGTATAAAAATCCTCGTCCCCATATCTTTTATTACAATCTCGCATATATCCTAGTACCAACGATCCCCATACTGTATAAATACCGTAGTCGTGACATCAAACGTAGTCGATGATTGGGAGGAAGTTCACGCACTGGCTAGCCAAAAAGCGTGCGGCAAACACACGAACGTGTCCATCGCGGCTCCTTAAGCCATGGCTTCGCTTGCTAGGTTCGAGGGCTGGCTAAAGCACTCACACCTTACAAAAGACACACATGTCTTGCTCAAGCCACCCATACAAACTGAGTTAAAAACATAGCTCCTATGTGATGTGGTGTTGTGACTTGTGAATGGTCTTATTTTACAATCAATTTTTGTCTTATGATCTTTTTTTTTGTCTTATGATTTTTTTTTGCTGCCTATACCATACAAGACTAAGTGAGAGGATAGTTAGGAATAGGGTAAGTTTTGGTAAAAATTAAATAGGATAATCATGTGGGAAAATAGTATTAAAAACCCAAATATTTATGAAAAAAAAATAAAATTGGGATGGAGGTAGTTGAAGCTTACTCCAAAACACTTGTGCTCTCTATTGCAATGGGTAGATCAAAGGGAACTATGATTAATTTTGCACCAAGGTTTTGGGCAGGTCAGAATAAAATTTGGAATACGTGTGTTCGATCCCTGCATCTGTCCTCCCCTTTGCGTCAATCTCAGCCGTCCAAGATACTAGTTTCGATCGAACGGCTTTCCGCGCTTCTTCCTCCTCCGCCGCCGCACCTTCTCCCACCACCGTCCTCCGCCGCGAAGCCACCCCCCCACCTCACGCGGCTACGGCGAGCCGAGACCCGAAGAGGCCCGAGTAGGCGGCGCCGCCTCGACCGGGAGGTGGTGGATCGAGGTTTGCGCTCGCCGACGACCCCCACCCGATCGCCCCGCCGCGATGCCCGCCCTGCGAAGGTAAGTAGAGAAATGCAGTAGGATGCAACGCAAATGCGGCTCGCTTGTTCTCAGGCTCTCAGCTTTGCTTATCTCTTAGACAGTGCACACTTTTATCTTCTGAGCTTTGCTAGAGCAGGCATGGTTTGGTTTGCTTGTTCTTGCTGAATGTCACGGTTGGACCGAAGGAGTGCATGAAACTTCGATTTGGATGTCGCCAGTGATACATATAGGTTGGTTTCTTACCGATGTAGACTTTATATTATACATCTCATGTAGCGGTATGGTTGGAACATAGGGAAAAAAATAGCCCCTCATAGTAGAATCTGTTGAGGAAAAAAAAAAGTACCCCTCATATTACAATCTCAAGGAATTTTACTGTACTTGAAAAAGTACCTTAAGGTACCTAAATTTTACATTAAAATTTTTGGTACCTAGAGATATTAAATTTTACACTAGAAAATATGATACTTTCTCAAGCATGATAAAATTACCCTACAATCTTATACAGACAATGCACTAAGATTTGGTTGTGTAGTGCGCGGGTCTGTAAATACTGACATGTAATGTTGGAAATGCCGGTTTTATAAGCTAATACTAGCATTTTTGTAATTGCTTACATGGCGGAGGCAGAACCAGATATTTTGGTGAGGGAACACTTCAGAATGAGGAATTCTGAACCTATTAATTCTTTGGATGTTTCTCATCTAAATACTAGTTAACTTCCTAGATCTCATCACAGAAATGTGATGGCTTAGACAGGACGGTATAGAAAATTAACAATATCGACCAACAATTTTCTTGTAATATATTTTGAGAAAAAAAATCTAACGATATTTATGCTACGAAAAATCTTTCCCAACACTTATACATACATATTTCATATGGATTGTCCAAAAGTTCATTAAAATCAGAATAATTTTGTTGCTAGCTAGCATGCCACTTTTTCACCAGAGGGATTGATCTGCAATCTGCACCATAAAAATACAGGAGGTAGTACAAGTGGGCTTTCTATTTTCTTACAAGATTATAGGAAAGCGGGAAGTCAGACAAGTAGGGAGCACTTCCCTTTGAGTGGAAAAATTGAGCCACATATATACAAATTTGCAGTCAGAAGACTTAGCAACAAAGTACTGCAAGTAGGCGTAGTTAAATCAAATGAGTGCTGTGCTGTCCACATCCATAGTCTGGACATAACTAATGGCATTGACTGGTTCCCAACTATGAAATTTCTTCAGAGATACTCCATCTAGTCCAGTCACCCTCAAGACAATTAACAAAGCTGCAGACTGAAGATGCCATTGTTACAGGTACTAGAACTGTGCCTCCTATTTAGATGCACAAGATTTGGGATCCTGATGCATATGAGCCTGTGATATAGTTACATTGACATGTGCATGGAGAGGATTTTTTTCCTTTGTGTGCTTCTACAGTAGCCATCTTCATCTTGAATCTCTCTTTGTGTTGCTTCTTCTCTTGCAAATTTTTACGTGCATCTCCATATGCTGTAATATACTAATCTCTCCATAGAGATCTTTCTCTATAGCTTCTGTTATGGCACTAGTGTTTGCTGGAAAGGCAGTGGCAACTGCAGCCATCTCCTTCTGGATCAACAAGGCTTTCACCTACCTGAAAGAGTACAAGGTTGAAGGCATCGAAGATATTAAGAACAGGCTACTGCAGTCGATGCCGAAGATCCAGGTCGTTCTCGATATTGTCAATCCCAGGTATGTAAAGGAACAGAGCAGTGCACTAGATGCATGGTTATGGCAGCTCAGGCACGCAGTTGAGGAGGCTGAGGACGTGATCGATGTGCTCGAGTACTACAAACTCAAAGAAATGGCAAAGGACCACAAGGTTAGTGTCTGGGGTTCCTCTTTCTCTAAGGTGAAGCACAAAGTTATTAAGTCTGTTAAACATGTCAGTATTTTGGACAAGAATTTGAAACAATTTACTCACCGGGGCACTCTCAAGAGGTTGAGGGAAGCTGTGGAGGGTTTAGACAAGGTTGCTTCAGATATTATGAGCATTCTCACAGTCACAGAACATCTCAAAGAGGTTGCTTCGTGTAGTCAGCAGCAGGAGTATTCAACGAACGATGATCGTGCGACAGGTTTGACATTAACTCCACCTAAATTTGTTGGACGAGAAAAGGAGAAAGAAAAGATAGTTAGATGGCTGACAAAGGCATCAACTGACGCTTCTGGAAATTTGATGAGCACTAACCATATTCCTATTCTGTCGTTAATTGGTCACGGTGGCATGGGGAAGACTACGTTGGCTCAACGTGTTTGTGAAGAAATGGTTAGGAAGAATTTCAAGGTTATATGGGTGTGTGTATCTGATCGCTTTGATGTAACATCTGTGACAAGTAAAATACTAGAATCTGCTACGGGGGCAAAACCTAATGCTAATTGTTTGGAGACACTACAGCAAAGCCTAATACACAAACTGAAGTATTCTACTGATTTTTTGCTTGTTTTAGATGATGTGTGGGAAGATAAGAAAATAGATAAATGGGAAAAGTTGTTTGCTCCTCTAAGGACAGGGAAGAGTGGGAGCAAAATTTTGTTAACAACACGGATGCAGTCAGTAGCTGTTTTGGCCACAGAAGCCATGGGAATTGAAACAGAGTTCTTGTCAATAGAAGGACTAGAAGAAGGTGAAAATCTTGAGCTCTTCAGTCATTCTGTATTTTCTGGTCAGAATCCACAAGATTTTCCAAATTTGAAATCAGTCGGCAAACAAATTGTGAAGAAACTAGGAGGATGTCCCCTGGTAACAAAGGTTGTCGGTGGCCATTTGCGGAGCAATATGAGTTTTCAACACTGGAACAATTTCTTGCAAGAAGGTTTGCAACATTTTAAAGGAAGTGAAGATGATATTATGGAAGTCCTCAGACTAAGCTACTACTGTCTACCAACCGACCTTCAGATTTGCTTTCGATACTGTAGTATATTCCCGCAAGATTATGCATTTAAAATGAAAGACCTAGTGCTGATGTGGATAGGTTCAGGACTGATCTCAGAAGCTGGAAATAAACCACCAAAAAGGCTTGAGGACATTGGAGAACAGATCTTGGCTCAATTAGCTGGGAAATCATTCTTTGAAACCAATATCAAAGTAGATCCGTATAGTCAAAGGAAAGAAAATTATTACATAATGCATGACTTAATGCATGAATTGGCAAGGTATGTATCTTCTGGGGAATGTGCAAGAATAATCAGTCCTGGCATGTTGGAAAATGAGAAGGATACAGTTCGACACCTATGTATTTCAGGAATTGACCATTTATCTACTGAGGAGGTTAAGAAGATCTTACATTTTAAGAATGTGCGCACTGTTATCATTGAAGGCTCAGGTTTGATTGACAGCAATTTATTTCATGCAGTTGAAAATGTTATGGAACAATCAAAATCGCTGCGTCTACTGCAATCAAATTTGGAGAATACATTTCATCTTCCAAAAATTGCTCATCTAAAGCACCTCTGTTATATTGATCTACCTAGGATATCTCCTGATACCATATGTGGACTTGTGAAACTTTATCACTTATTGCTAGTTAAATGTTTCAATGGTTCTCGCGAAGAGCCAAAACAAGTGAGGTATTTGGGAAACATTGATCATCTGCGATATGTGAATTACGGCAAAATTGGTGAGTTCCCAATTGGAAGGCTCACTTCACTTCAGGAGCTGCACAACTACAGGATCCAAGGTGGCAAAGGTAACAAAATAAGCGCAATCAGCAACTTGAGTACTCTTCGTGAACTAGAGGTGCTTGGTCTTGAGAATGTTGAGAGCCATGAAGAAGCTGACAATGTCGAGCTAAATGATAAGAAATATATCACCTTGTTATCTTTGGCATGGTCAGCACGTGCGGCTGTGGAAAACAGAAAAGATGAGTTGCTTCTTAATCACCTTGAGCCATATGCTAATATTGAAACACTGAGAATTTCAGGTTATGGTGGTGTAAGGTCTCCTATTTGGATTGAAAATCTCTGCATCAAGAACTTAGTGTCACTCGAGTTGGCAAGATGTCTATATTGGGAAAAACTTCCTTCACTTGGAGAGTTAGTATCTCTTAAACATCTTTGGTTGGAGTGCCTTCCTAGTTTGCAACAGATTGGTCAATCATCTGAGGCCTCAAGTAGTAATTGTGTTGATTTATCCCTTCCTCCAAATCTTGACACTATGATAGTAAGACGCTGCAAAGAGCTGAGGGCATTGCCTATCCTGCCTACTACCTTGGTTCATTTTGAAACAAGTAATGTTGGTTTGACCAAACTTCCTAGGATAGGAAAGGAATGCAACGAGAACCTCGAGACCAAGTCATCCAGGCTGCTGGTCGTAGTTGTCGAAGAATGTAAATGTCTGAACTCACTTGAAGAGAGCCTTCTAGTGCAGGGAGACTACATCAAAAGCATCCATGTCCTACGCATCTCAGATTGTGAAGATCTGGAGGCTGCTCCATTGGTATTTGAACAGATGAATGAACTTAGAGAGCTTGATATCAGAAACTGTCCAAAGCTGAGGACATCGAGAGGTGTTGGAGATACATTCCTGCCATTAGCACTTCAAAAACTGAATGTCAATTACTGTGGTGAACTTGAACTTCCACTGATTGGAGCACTACAAGGACTCACGCATCTTTCTGAGCTGGTGTTGGAGAAGTGCAAATACCTAGAATCACTCCCCTCACATGATGTGTTCAAGAGCCTCAAGTCTCTGAAGTCTCTCGAGATAATAGGATGCGAGAATCTGTCATCCTTAGGTGGTCTTGGTTCGCTTCAATACCTTCTTGAGCTGAAAATCAGTGCTTGTAGTAAGCTCATGGCGATCGGGTCATCCCAAACTCCCGACGCATCGTCTACTAGCACCCTGCAGATAGACTATATTGAAATTGATCTGCCAGACATACTGCATCTTGAGCCACTCAAGGGTCTCTGTCACACCAAGGGGTTGGTGATCAGAGGTGGAACGCAGCTGGAGAGCTTACCTGAGGAATGGCTTCTTCAGAATCGTGGAAAGCTCCAATCCCTGAAGATTTACAGTGCCAGTTCTTTGGAATCTCTGCCCCTCCATATGCGAGACCTATGCTCTCTCAACTTATTGCTGTTATCTGGTGCTAGGAAGCTTCAGTCGCTTCCTGATTTCCCATCCTCTCTGCAGAAGCTCGATATCACTTGCTGCTGCAAAGAACTGGAGGAGAAGGTTGGAGTATATGAAAGCCCTGAATGGAATAATATCTCCCATATTGCCAGGGTGCACATAGGTACTGCCTTCTCTGACCTCCTTGTTCTTATTTTGTCATGTAAGGTGTATCTCCGATTAGCTCAAACAATTTATGTGCAAGGAAAATGTCTCAACATGCCAAAATTGTTTTGAATTTTTCAACCAAGAGTCTTCCTGAAATGCCTTTATTTTAATATGTTCTTCCGATTAGTAAATTCCCTGTTTTTTTAATTTCATTTTCAGTTGTTTTGTGACGCAACTTTCCCTAGTTTGATTTGTATTTGAGACAAATTGGAAGTTTGTTTGCAAACGCAATATATCCCAATTCTCTCGTGTCACTTGAAGAATGGGCACAGCTTGTCTAGAAGGTAGCATTTCGAAAGTTCACATATCACCATTCACATGTATGCTACGGTACTCTACTGTGCAAAAGTTTCTTTAACAGACTCCATAAGCTATTAAACTTTAGATTTGGTCCTATGTTACAAATATTTCTTGTTTTTTCAGTTCATTCTTGACAAATTTGTTTATAGTGATACTCTTGATGACTAATTATAATCACCTATTTAGGAGATTCATACTTCATGGACGGCAAAAAATGCAGTGAAGAGACTTTGGACAGACAGCAGTGATGAAATACTGGTTCAAGCATAAGCATTTGCTTTCTACTGAAATCTAGGCAAACTCTGTTTCTGTTACCATGATCTTTGCTAGAAGCTTGTTATTTGCTACCGTTAATAGCCTTATTACTCTTTTCATTTTAAGCTACGGAATCTCTAAAAAAACGTTCGACAGTTTTTATCTTCCAAAACTTTCGAATTTATAGTCTGTTAATTTGTTCTCTCTCTTAGCTACTACAGTGAGAGTGTAATGGCTAATTGTATAGCATCGTCAATGTGGATTCAGACCTAGTAAAAACAGAGCAGTGACTGTTTACAGTTGTGTTATACTCCCTCCATTTTCAAAATGTACGACGCCGTTGACTTTTCACATAACATTTGATCATTCATTTTATTCATTTTTTTATAAATATCATTTATTTTGTCATGATTTGTTTTATCATCAAATAAAAATATAATTTTAACCTGTACTTTTACGTATCTCTACTATTATAAAAATTAAAGATGTTTTTACCGGTATTTTGGTACGTCATCCGTGTATAAGTCGGTTTTTAAATTCGTTTGCTTTTAGAAATACATATCCGTATTTGAGTCGGTTTTTAAGATCGTTCACTTTTGGTAATACAGGAATCATATAAGAAATATGTTTTAAAAAACTCGCATGCTAACTTAAGACGATCGGACTCCTAACTGCAGCCCATGATTTTATAAAAATATATATATCCAAGCGAATTCTCATAGTGAATTTCATCTTAACTAAACCATATAAAAAAATAAGATTAAAACGTTGCAACGCACGGGCATTTTTTTTCTAGTTAATACTAAATTTTTAATAAAACTAATGGTCCGTGCAAACATAAATTTTGAAAATGAGGTACTATACAATTTGAATGCCTATCAGTGATTTCCACTGGCTGTCAGTGTACAAGGAAATGCTCCCAGGCCACAGCCCACATGTGGAAATGTCGATTTCCAGTCGTTTGTGTAAAGGTGGGCACAAAATCCGCGATCGGTTTTGCCCGTCTAGACAAATTTCTTTTGTAGTACTCCCTCCGTCCCTAAATATTTAACACCGTTGACTTTTTTAACATGTTTAACCATTCGTCTTATTAAAAAAAAGTAATTATTAATTCTTTTCCTATCATTTGATTCATTGTTAAATATACTTTTATGTATACATATAGTTTTACATATTTCACAAAAGTTCTTGAATAAGATGAATGGTCAAACATATTTAAAAAAATCAACGGCGTTAAATATTTAGAGACAGAGAGAGTAGTGTCTATCCAAACAGAGACCATGAGCACATGTATATGGTATACCGAAGATTAACATTTAGATTAGCTGTAGGACACAACACAATAGGGACATACATGGGAATAGAAACATATCATAGAGAGACATAAGTATACACACGCGAGCTAGCAACTCTTATTCAAGACCATACTGTTTTCTAGGTATATAGCTGCTTATTGAACTCAAGAGCATAGAAGTTCAAGAATATGTAGGTCGACCGAAAGGTACCGGTAAAGCCAGCTTCCTTGGCAAGCTTTGCAAACTCTTGCTCCGTCCTCTGTTTTCCTACCTTGAAGAGGACAAACATGATCATATCCATGGTGAATGAATCCCGTGCAGCTGGACTAGTATTTGGGGTCTCCGGCAGGAGACCATCCACAATGATCACTTTCCCGCCTTTCGGGAGAGCTTGGTGGCAATTCTTCAGTATCTTGATGCAGTCTTCGTCACTAAACATAAGGAGCATCCACTGCATAAGCATGTATGAATTAATTTTGAATTATCTCCATCTTTATAGCATGAGTTTAGTTCTTTCTACTAGCCAAATCCTAGTTTCACAGCTATATCGGAGACATCGTTCAACCTTAGCATCAATTGTTTTATTGTATTTGTACTCTCAAAAATTTCATGCGTCACAAACTGTATATGATTAAACATTTTCTTTCTATATGACTATAACAACCCAAATGATTCTGCTACTACGCTATCATACCTGCAAAAGAATTGCATCTCCATTAGGCACGCTCTCATACATATTTCCAGCTATATGTTCCACGCCTGTAATATAAGATCAACATTCAGGTCACGCTTAGCTACGATTTTGGATTCTTTTATTCGACTAGCAAATGTGCCCGTGTGTTGCAACGGTAGAAACTAATTAATATTTATGATTAATATAAAATGATTGGGATTATATATTTGCATGATTGCATAGCTGAGAGCAATCCCGAAATCTACTCATGAACATGTCTCCATCTTTGCATCAGGGAGCTTGGATGTGCATGCCAATGGAGCTACGGAACCAAGAGGGCGACAGATAAATCGAGAAATTGGATGACAATTGAATCAGCGTGAAGTCGTTTTTATCAGAACACTTTTCTGATTGCTCTCAAAGATATATTCTCTTGAGGCCAAGTTTTCCCTTTTCTTTTATTATTTTATTCCCTTAAAATCGATATAGTGCCACGCGGCTGGATTGAAACGCAAGCAGTGGATTGAAACCCCCTTGTCGATGGGTTTCTTTCAAACCCCACCGCCGCCCGAGAACGCTAATTAGCGTTCAAAGCGTGACTGGACACGTGTCGTGCGCGGAGAGGAGGGCGGAGTACGGCGCGTGGAAATTTTTTTTTCTGGCGGACGGTTTCTTTTTTCTTTTTCCTGTTTTTTTCTTTCCTTTTTTTGTTTTTTCTTTTTTTCTTTTCGTATGTTTTCAGTTATTTTCGTCTTTATACATATGTATACAAAAACCTTTGTATACGCCTATACAAAGTTTGTATACGGGTATATACAAACTTTGTATACGCGTATATAAAGTTTATATATGTGTATTTTTTATTTTTATACATACACGTATATAAAAACCCAAAACTTTTGTATACGCATATACAAAGTTTGTATATGGGTATATACAAACTTTGTATACACGTATACAAAGTCTATATATATATATATGTGTATTTTTTAATTTTTATACATACACATATATAAAAAAAATACACGTATACAAAGTTTGTATACACGTATATAAATTTTGTATACGTCATATATAAACTTTGTATACGTGTATATATACATATAAAAACAATAATAGTACTACTAGTATTACTAGTAGTAGTAATAATGTACTAGTGGTAGTAGTATTAGGCCATTCCCAACCCAATGATTAGGGCAGTCCCAACCCATAGTGTCCATAAGTAGTGTCCATGGTGCCATGTCAATAAGACATCACAATAGAAACTACACTCCACAACCCATGATTTCTTAGAGTGGGCCATTAATAAATACATCATCTCTCTTCTCTACCAATTATATTTATTCTTCGTCTATTATGAAGACACTATTCTCTCCCAATGCAAAACTTGATAGTGTCTAGTGCATAGGTTCTCGTGTTGAAGCTGTGTCTTGCATAAGATCCAGTTTCTTCCTCTCTTCACTCTCTCTTAATTAATATAGTGCCACATAAGCTAAAAGTCCTACATGGCAATGTAGTTAATGCCATAGACACCATCCTAGATGGAGAGTTGTGACTGCCCTTAAGATGGTGTTTATAGCATTAAATAAGCAGCCACCTAGGATGAAAAATGATGTGGCAAGTGAATAAATGAGGAAAGAGAAGGAAACCATGTCTTGCATGAGACATGGTTTCTACATAACATCCAAGACACCATGTGAGATAAGTAGCATTAAAGTTAAGTATGGAATAGTGGTGTTTGCATTGGAAGAGTAGGGTCTAGTACTAGTTTCTTGATGATGTGGAGTTTATAGAAACTATATCTAGTGTGGAGATTATGGGTACCACATACCCACACGGCATGGTTATCCGACTAGTTATAGGGGATAACTCATATCTATGAAATATGTAACAGATCATGACTTGGGTATTACGTTTCCTTGTATATTATGGAACAGCCTAGAGTCCTGATTTGATAATGTTGTAAAGTATATTTAGGAAACCGATACCGTATTGGTTAAGATTTCTATCATGTAATCTTGCTCCTCACCCTATATAAGGTGGGCAGGAGGCCCCCTCTAGGGGGTATGACAGAATATGATCGTCAGATCTATACTACACCCGGCGGATTCAAATCCCCAAACAGGAGTAGGGTATTACCTCTCATTGAGAGGACCTGAACCTGTCTAAATTCTTGTCTCCGCATCCATCCACTTTTAGGTCTCGTGCGCTACCCTCTTTTATTATTGCTAAATTCATGTTTCGACAGTTGGCGCGCCAGGTAGGGGTTGCGTCGAATTTCCCGTCGAGAAGTGCGATGGAATCAACTCCATGAGTCGCCGGCTTTGTGTTCACTTCAGGGCAGATTTCTTGCATGAGGAGTTTGACTTTCTCGCCGCCGACAATTTCAGCAAATTCCTGTTCGATCTCCCGAACACTGCAGTGATCTATTCCAAGCTCTCCAAGCAGCCAACTTCAAATCCAATCTGACTTCGGTCAGCCTCCGGTCAACCGCTACATTCATCACATCAATCTCCGACGTCAGCATATACGAGGATCTACATGGCTCAGCCGCTACCAAGAAATACATCAACTCTCAGCCACCGCCAATGTTTTCTCGTCAAATATCAAAGTTTCTGGCGAGATTCAATTATTAACATGAATCGGAGTTGATGTGGGCTCGGAGCCGACTGATCGGACTCAGCCATGCATACTCCGGACTCATATCTGGCCCTGCACGCCGATGACATACGTGCATCATTAAGAGTTTGTGTGACAAACATTTACCAGGTCTATCGTTTTAATTTTCTTACATAATCTAGAATTAATATTGATTTTTCTAGTCATCTAATTCACAGATTTCTAATTATTTTCTGATCTGTTATTTTTGTGTGCACATACATACGTGGCATCCGCCGCCATTGATTGGTGCCTTCACCTCCACGGTTGATGAACTCCGCCGCCGTTGCTGATGGCGACATTGTCTTGACTGCCGGCCGCCGTCATCGCCGCCGACTGGTGCCCTCGCCTTCACGGTTGGTTGGTCACATCACCGTTGTTGGGCATCTATGTCTTCACCGCTGGCCGCCTCGTCCGCCGCCAACTGGTGTTCTCGCCTATACAGTTGGTTGGTCACACCACTATTCATGGGCGTCCACGTCTTCACCGACTGGCCTGCCTCTGTCGCCGCCGACTGGTGTCCTCGCCTATACGGTTGGTTGGTCACACCACCGTTCATGGACGTCTACGTCTTCAATGACTGGCCTGCCTCTGTCGCCGCCGACCGGTGTCCTCGTCTATACGGTTGGTTGGTCACACCACCGTTCATGGCGTCCACGTCTTCACCGACCGGCCTGCCTCTGTCGCCACCGACTGGTGTCCTCGCCTATACGGTTGGTTGGTCACACCACCATTCATGGGCGTCCACGTCTTCATCGACCGGCCTGCCTCTGTCGCCGCCGACTGGTGTCCTCGCCTATACGGTTGGTTGGTCACACCACCGTTCATGGGCGTCCACGTCTTCACCGCCGGCTCGCCTTCGCCACCGCCGACTGGTGTCTCCGCCTGCACGGCTGGTTTATTATGCCGTCGTTGTTGGGTGTCTACGTCTTCACCGACCGGTCTGCCTCTGTCGCCGCCGACTGGTGTCCTCGCCTATACGGTTGGTTGGTCACATCACCGTTCATGGGCGTCCATGGCTTCACCGACCGACTTGCCTTCGCCGCTGCCGACTGATGTCTCCGCCTACACGGCTGGCTTATTATGCCGCTGTTGTTGGGCGTCTACGACTTCATCGCCGGCCTGCCTCCGTTGCCGCCGACTGGTGTCCTCGCCTACACGGTTGGCCTATTATGCCGTCGTTGTTGGGCGTCTTCGACTTCACTGCCGGCCTGCCTCCGTCGCCGCCGACTGGTGTCCTCGCCTATACGGTTGGTGGACTCCGCCGCCATTGATGGACCTCGTCATCTACACCACCGGCTTGCTCCCGCCGCCGCCAACTGGTGTCTTTATTGTTATTGATGGACGACTTTGTTCCCACATTGGCCACCTCTGCCATCACCAAGGGGAATATTACAAAGCTAAGTCATCATTAAATTTTCTTTATATGATATTTTCTTTTTTCTCTGCCTCACTACATCAACTGGTTTGCCGTTGACTAGTGAGTCGGTGGCTACAGATGTTATATCATATTTTTTCAACAATTTTCATACTATTTATCTTGATTGCTCGCGACATAATCTGAGTACAAAAGTGCCTATCGAGTTATGGAGTTCCATCTTCCTATGATTTCCGTTTGGTTTGCCAATGGATAGTTGCCATTGAGCCGATTCCTAGCACCGGGGGCTCGTTGGATGGACCGAGTAACGCAAGGTGCTAAGTATTACTCGGAATAAATCAAAAGCATAGAGATAAAATAATTTATTTTCTGCTCTTAATAATTGTAAAAGTACCCGAGTAGTAAACTCTGATCCGTGAAACTTTGTTCCATTAATGACGAACTCATGTCCCTCATATGCATGTTTGGGAAGTGCCTAAGCCGACTCCCAATGCTTGGGGACTATGACTAGTTAGGCAGAGTGTTTAAACGTAAGGAGTCATCTGCTCGGAGAAATCAAAATTGACAAGAGGAGAAATACATATTTATAAATATTTTAAAATACTTAAATTTTCCTCGAGTATTATATTTATATCAGATACTACTCATCCTATATGTTTGTTCTTTAGGATCCAGATCCAGATATGCATAAAAGGGATTCATGGCTTTAAGCTTATCTCCTACGCTCCAGGAATGGATCAGTCAGAACATCACCACCGGCTTGCCCTCATCCGCCGCCAACTAGTGTCTTCGCCTATACGGTTGGTTGGTCACACCACCGTTGTTGGGCGTCGTTGTCTTCACCGACCGGCCGCCTCGTTCGCCGCCGACTGGTGTCTTCGCCTATACGGTTGGTTGGTCACACCACCGTTGTTGGGCGTCTACGTCTTCACCGACCGGCCGCCTCGTCCGCCGCCGACTGGTGTTTCCGCCTGCACGGTTGGCCTATTATGCTGCTGATGTTGGGCGTCTATGTCTTCACCGACCGGCCGCCTCCTCCGCCGCCGACTGGTGTTTTCGCCTGCACGGCTGGCCTATTATGTCGCCGTTGTTGAACGTTAACATCTTCACCGACCGGCCGCCTCGTATGATGCCTACTGGTGCTACCGTCTTCACGGTTGGCCACGTCGTCGCCACTGCTAATAGGCGTCATCATCTTCAATGCAAGCTGTCTACGTCTGCTGCCGACTGGTTTCTTCACCTCCATGGCTGCATGATTCTGCCAGTGTTGATTGGCCTTATCATCTTCATCGCCAGTCGTCTCGTCTGCTGTTGACTGGTGTCCTCGCCTCTACGGCTGGTTTATACCACTACCACTACTGATGGACGTCATCGTCTTCATTGCTGGCCGTCTTGTCTGACGCTGACTGGCTTGTTCGCCTCGACGGCCGCGCGTCTTTGTCATCATTGACTAGCGTCATCCTCATCGCCTGTTTGCCTTCGCCGCCGCCCATGGTGCCTTGACTTTCATGGCTGGCCTATTTTGCTGCCATTCAAGGACATATTCATTTTCGTCATCATTCTACTTCTTCCGTCGCCGACTGGTTAAGCCGCCGCCGACTAGTGTTTTTATCTTCACAACTACGCGTCTTCGCTACCAGTTTGCTTCTGTTGCCGTCGACTCGTGTTCACTTCATCATGGCTATGCAACCTTTTCACCATGGTGGAGCGACTTTATCTTTATTGTCTTCTGCACCGGCAAAACCAATTGCCGCTACTTCGCAAGTTTTGCTGCTTCACCAACCACGACATCTACAAGAGCCTCAACATCTCGGCATGCCTCACCAAATATGATGTCGTGTTATTTTACAACAACAAGTGGTGTTACAATCTTCAATATTTCTACTTGGACATCTTCAACATGCATCTTCACTCTAGTGATGGCTGTTCGACGACAGGAAGCTATAGTTCTCGACTCTATGTTCAATTGCTTTCCAACTAACCAAAGAGTCGGGGGCTACACAAATACAAGACTCAAAATTCGACAAGTTTTATGTCAAGATGAAGTAATCAATCAATCAATGAGTCAACTCTAGGAGTTATTATCTTTATCTTCGCTTCAGAGCCGAAATTTGACTTCAGCGACTCCAATTATTACACCGGCATTTGGATTTCTAGACGCTGCCACAATTTACTCTAAAATTTTCAACTATCAAGTTTGAGATTTAATCTACATGTCCGGGAGTTTAGAGTTATCAACCAATCAGCTCAGTTTTGTTGAGTTGGACAACAGCATATACTTTCCTCCAAGTGAAGCATCTGCAACAGCTACAAGACCAAGTTCTACTGGCATCTTTATAAATCAAGGGGCGTTGCATCAGTCTTCGTTATGCACACGCTCGCATCAAGGAAACTACTCGAGCTTTGATATCTTCTCAATAGTTTGATGGATTATTGTCACTGACATCATCACTAGCATCTCTGCTTCATCGGCCCTGACATCTCCGCTATTGCTAATGGCTGATTATGTCTTCGCCGACTTATTATTTCACCTTCACGGGTTACCTACTACGCAAACGCTGATGAGCGTCTTCGTCATTATCATCGGCTGCTACACCGCTATTGATTGGATCGCCGGCATCGTCATCTTCATCAACATCCTGTCAAGCCTCTTCAACATAGCCTACACTGCTGCCGTTGATGGGCAACTTCGTCACCATAGCCGGCTATCTTTGTTGCCGCTAATCATCATTACCGTCGGATGCGTTTGCCGTCGCCGACTATTTTCTTCATCTTCATGATTGGTGGATTTTGCCATCACCGTTGATGCGCGTCTACGTCTTCATCGACTTGCTTTCGTTGCCACCGACTGCTTTGTCGTTGTTGTTGGGCACCTTCATCTTCATTGCTAGCTGACCTGACCGCTGCCGACTGGTTTCTTTGCCTCCACGGCTGTGCGACTTCATCACCTTTGATTGGTGTCACTGTTTTTACTACCACTGACATCTTCTGTCAGCTTTGATGGGTGATATCATCTTCATGTTAGTCATTTCGTCTCCATGTCGACTGCATCAGCTATTGCCAATGGACAATTTTGACTATGACAGAAGGACAAGCTATATATTTGCTCAGGGGCTTATCAACTCAAACACAGGGATCATACCTTCAAGTTGGATTTTGTTCTGAGATTATTTTCTATGCTCGAAGACTGGACCAATCATTATTCCCCGTAAGGGCTATCAACCGAATACTTGCGCCAGTCGGGATTCAATTTTTATATCTATTTTGGAGTATCCCATAAGGGATAATCACTCAGATCAAAAGCTATTCATATGAGCTACACTTGGTCTATATCACTCGGAAGATTTATTACTCGAGAGCATGTTACATACGTCATCCTTTAAAGGGTGTTGAAGGCATATTTTTTTGGCCTAGGCCTAATATGTCTGTAGCCCATATTTTCAGGTGTGGCCTGTCACGTTCTTTTAGGGACTTAGGCACTTTTTGCTTATGCTAAAGTGCGCGTGATCAAGTGCCCAATACCTTAAAATCCTTTTATACCGCAGTTACTCAACTTTTTAGGAGTTGGTACAATGCATTTTAAAAGGTGCCCAGCAGTGAACTTTTTTCATAGCTGTCCTACTGACTTTTTTATATAGTTAAGGCGCTGTTTGGGTTTATAAAGCAATTGATTGGATAAAATATCATTGCTTTTTGCCACGTAAGTGTGCATTTTTATTGACCAATATTATGGCTTAGGCTGATTATATATTGAGGTCATTTTCCAGGCAGTTGGTAAATCCTTTATGAGTTTATTTACTCGGATGTTACACCACATATGCCATATATTTTTAGGTGTGGTGAAACCATGTGTCTTTTAGGGACTTAAGCACATCTGTTAAAGCAGTGTGCGCATGGCGTATGCCCAATACATTGGAAATTTCTTTATTCACAACATACAAGCTTCTTTGTAGCTGTTTTGCTATGTGAATTTTTAAATGATATAGTCAACTTTAGGTTGCACGCATCATATGTTACAAAGCAGTCGGTATATCACTTGGATCATATTATTCAGGGATTCACACCGCATATGCTATATATTAATATTAAGTCACTCGGTTGACTACAATTATCAAAACCACTCAGTTGGTTGGATTATTTACTCTTTGACTATATGTTTAGTTTGTTCAACTATCCATATAGTCGGGGCCTACACCTATTAGGTACATCTAGTCGATGCACCTAAGTCTACAGTCAATTATTTTTCAGCCCTCCACAGTCTTCAAATTTGGTAAAAGTACTCGGGGGACCATGGCGAAGATGATTGAAGCACTCGGCTTTGCAGTAATCTAGTGCGAGAGAAGATTATCTTTTCGACTGCGAATGTCTCAGGGGCTACTGTGGAGATTATGGGTACCACATACCCACACGGCATGGTTATCCGACTAGTTATAGAGGATAACTCATATCTATGAAATATGTAACAGATCATGACTTGGGTATTACATTTCCTTGTATATTATGGAACGGCCTAAAGTCCTGGTTTGATAATGTTGTAAAGTAGATTTAGAAAACCGATACCGTATTGGTTAAGATTTCTATCATGTAATCCTGCCCCTCACCCTATATAAGGTGGGCAGGAGGCCCTCTAGGGGGTATGACAGAATATGATCGTCAGATCTATACTACACCCGGCGGATTCAAATCCCCAAACAGAAGTAGGGTATTACCTCTCATTGAGAGGGCCTGAACCTGTCTAAATCCTTGTCTCCGCATCCATCCACTTTTAGGTCTCGTGCGCTACCCCTTTTATTATTGCCAAATTCATGTTTCGACATCTAATGTCTTGGGTTGAGAATGACCTTATTGTAGCAGTAGTAGTTGTACTAATGGACTAATGGACTAGGCAGGCATGACTGACCGCGCGGATGCAGGCCCGCGCGGCTGGTCGCCGATCAGGCACACCCACCGCCGCCACCCCTCCCCCACACTGCGATTGAATTCTTGAAGGGACAATAACTGATTCACTGGATGAAAATTGAAGTCCCCAAATATTTCGAGTAAAATTAAAATCTGTCTTTTTATTGCTGGACATGTATCCTATTGACTGGCCAAACACGATCGAGGCAACTGAATTTTTAGAGAACCGTTGGTTCCCACACGGACGCCCCAGGAAAGGACGGAGGTAGCGTTGGGAAGCGATCGGGAACTGAATAGAAGTGTTCAACCGAAAAGACCGGAAGAGATCGGGAGGGCAAGGATAGGATATAGAGAAAAAACAACCTGCACCATCTATTAAATTGAAATCAATATGTTTAGATTAAGGTTAATATGAAATTTAATATTAGTTATGTGCGACATACGCCATGAATCTTTCATTAGTTAGATGCATCAATAGTGGTCTCTGAAAAAGAAAAAAAATATTGGTTGGTTTCTTTAAGTATATTTATTTTGAATTGTCATCGTGCTTAGTTTAGATATATATCTAAGCACTACTTTTCTTTTAGTACTCCTGCCAATCGAGGCATCGAGCCTTTTGCTCTTCCTAACCCCAGTCGCTCCCAATCAAGACATCGAGAGCTGCCAGATTTAATAACAGCACAGATTTTCTCCCGATTGGAAGAGGATTGGAAAAAAAAAAAAAAGGAAAGAAAGAGGGCCAGCCTCCTGGCCTTCAGGACATTAGACAAGTTGGCCCATACTCCCTTTGGCCCAGTAACACGGTGGGGGCGAATTCCCCTCGCTTGCGTACCTCGCGTACCCGAGTTAGGTAAAGATTAGTTCGTCGCAAACCGAATGCTTTGTAGTCAACACAATCTTACACAAAAATCTCACACATACCTGGAAGAGATGGGGCCTGAGAGATGACATGAGGCAGGTCATAGTTGATGCCCCTAATGTGCTTGTACCGCGAGGTGATCATCCCCAGGGTGGATCCGTCACCCCCACCGACATCGACGAGCTGCTGGACGCCGTCGAATCCTTGGAAGCGTTCGAGCATCTTGCTGACCAGAATCACTGAATGCTGCGCCATGGCGTGGTCGAACAGCGCGCCCAGCCGCTGGTTCTTCCCCATGTACTCGAAGTAGAGCAACCCGTGTGCCCTCTCGAACGGCGCCGGCCCGCCACTAGTCACCGCTGCCGCTATATGTTGCCTACAAGAACATGCATAGCAGCATGTGATGTATTTTCGTTGGCGGTACTCTTAAAATTAACTCTACCTGTAGAAATCAACTTTTACAGACGGGACTATATCTAGCTGGTTATCTGGAAAAATGAAAACCCGGATCGGATATTGGAAAAAATCGTCAAATTTTTATAGCGATAGGAAGAATACGTATATATACCAGGGCAATAGGTGGTCCTCGTCGACAACGAACACAGTGAAGGGAGCCAGCGATCCCTCGCCGTTGTTTCTGGTGAGCCACCGGCACACCGGCGCTGGCATGTAGCGCCGGAGAAGTGCGCCGTCGGGGCTTGTCTCGGTGGAGCACCTCACCACATCGAAGGATGCGAGGTACCGGAGAATCCGATCCACCGAGACGGCCACCTCGGCCTTGTCCGTGGCCTGGATTTTCTCGGCAAGCTCATCCGCGGTCAGCGCGTTTCCAGCGGCCGCGCTGAGCGCATCGAGAAGACCAAGCTGGACCGCCGCTCTCAGGACCATGGAGCGGTTGTAGGCAAACATGAGTTCTTGCGCGTACAAGCAATGCTCATCCTCCTTCTCTTGAGCATCACTAGCAGCAACAATTTTTTCCATGGCTCTAACACGAACAGTCGTCTAATCCTGTGTAGTGTATTGCATTTGATGCCTCTTACATGGTATACCGAGTATGTATAATGGGAGAGCGGGGGCAGGGAGGTGCCGAGTCGTGGTGAGCGAACTGTCTCTTATTTCCATTGTGTCCTCTCTTAATAATGACAAGTGCGATTTTTTTCCATGGTCAACAATCCTGTACTAGTTTTGCTAGCTTTGTGATTAACTTCAGACAACACTGTACATCAATTTTACAAGAGAAAAGCTAAATAAAATTATTCAAGTTTTTATATTTAACTAGTTACATACCTGTGCATTGCAACGGTACCAGATGATACAAATATGATTTAGTTTCTTTCTATGTCGGTTTTTATAATTGGTTGGATTTTTTTTGAGCGTTTTTTAAAGGAGGAAGTGATTTTTTTTCTTTAACTAGAGGGAACGGTTCTTTTGTTGTTGGAGGGGAGTAAGGGGACGATTCTCTAAAGTATTATGACAATTAATATAAGATTATAAGTAGTTTTATGGGCTACCCATGTGTAAGACGTCCGATGAAACTCGAAAAATCGAACGCCCACTTCTGTGCTTTTGTAGCCTCTAGCTTTCTCCTTTAGCTCTATACATGCATGTTATATGTAGGGCCCACATACCCCCACTTTTACATACACGCTCTCTTTGCACACTCACTTATTTCTCTTCTCTTCCCTAAGTAACTTAGTTAACAATCTTTAAACTTTTTTCCTAAATTACCTTTTCAATTTGAGATATAATTACATTGTTATATTTACTACAATTAATTAAATATTCAAGCAAGATCTTACATGATTATATTATGAATAACAAACAATTATATTTTGAATTGAAACATGTTTGTATTATATATGAAACATTGAATTTTAACTGTTGAAACATTAAAAGAATATAACATGCAACATTTTACAAACATAAGGAAAAATACTTATTGAAACATCTAAATAACACAATGTACAACATTTAAAAAAATCTATTGAAAAAATGAGGCAGCCAAATGTTTCAGTAGACTACCTATGAAACATCAAGATGCACTTGGTGAAACATAAAAAAGTAGTCATTGAAACAATTAAATAATTTGTGAAACACCATGAAATACTTGTTGAGACATTTCTCTATCAAGTAGAAACATTAAATTTTAACGGTTGAAATTTAATGCCTCCATTTTTGTTTCACCATTTTGACCCTTGATAGAGAAATGCCTCTATTTTTCTTTTCTCAGGATATAAATATAATCAAGTGATATCTTGTTATAAATATTTAATTATAATTAATAAAATGGTGCCATCGGATCATAGATTAAATATGTAATTTATGAGAAAAATATTTTATATTTGTTAATAGAACCAGACATGCATGCTTAAGAGAGTTTGGAAAGAAAGAGTTTGTGAGAGACACTAGTGCATGCATGTGAGAGATGATAGGGAGCATGTGTGGAGAAAAAACATCTCTGTGTCGTTTTGTACAGTGTAGAAAAAGTACATAGGGTGTGGTGGCATCCGACGTCTCGGATGGGACTTTTTGTTTAGAAGTATTGTCTGTAGTTTTACGGTTGAAGTTGTAAAGTTCTGCTGTAGAGTAAGGACCATAAATTTTATACAAAATTTAGTTCGCCAGTGCGCCACCGCCAGCCGCTAGGGCCGCCGCCGCCGCCGCACTTCCCCAGCTGCCGCCACCGCCGCACTTCCCCAGCTGCCGCCGCCGCCGCCAACCGCTAGGGCCGCCACAGCTGCTGCACTTCCCCAGCCGCCACCGCCGCACTTCCCCAGCTGCCGCCGCCGCCGCCAACCGCTAGGGCCGCCACAGCCGCTGCACTTCCCCAGCCGCCGCTGCCGCCGTCGCACTTCCCCAGTCGGCAAGAAGGTCCCCTCCTCCTCCTCTACCAGCTGCTTGTTGGTTTGGCTCGCAAGCCTAACTAGCTAGCTCGAGCTTTCAAACGAGCCAAGCCGAGCTAGGTTTCTAGCTCGTTAGGATGACGAGCTGAGCGAGCCGAGCGGAGCCGAGCCGAGCTGGCTCACTATCCACCCCTAGTCTACGCGCTGCAGGGAACAGGGCTCGACTGAAGTTGATTGCCGCTACTGATTGCCATCGCCCACATACCTCATGCTGTTTGAGGTCATCTTATCGCTTTAAGGTACTGATAACACCAAAATTTGGTACTTTTGTTTAGTGGATTCGGTTAAATAAAAACTCGATTGGAAGATGGAAATTTATCCAGATCAAGCCGAGTTTTTGAGCAGGGCTGCATTGGTTTTGTTCGATCTCCAACAAGAAATCAAGTTCAGGGCCTTGCTATCGAGTTGGGCTACATCGTTTCGATCTCCGGCGAGTAAGTAAGTTCCGTCAACTTCACTTGTATCGGTTTGGCTAGAACATTCTCGGTTAGGTCCGATATTCTATTCAAGTTGATGCAAGTGTTGCCTATCAGATATATTGATTCTATCTTTAACAACGTCATTGTTTACAGTCGTATTGGCTTAGTTAGGACTTTCTCGATTAGGTCCGATATTCTGACTAAGTTGATATTTCTCTAATCACATTGTTATTTTAGATTGATCAATATATCCATCACGTTTATATAGATCTATCGGCTAAATAAGTTTTTGTTATTATGTTCAATCTTATATTATCTCGGTTAGGTCCGAACTATTAGATTGCTGCTAAATAAGTTTAATTCTAGTAAACCGAAAGGTTTTTATGCAACGTTCATCGGAGTTCTAGCCGATGAGTTATCATTATTGTGGGCTTCAGCTATAAGATGTATCGGTTAGTTAGCCGATATATATTCGAAATCTACCTGCATCAGGTTTTCAGCCGATGTATGCTTTAACCATCAATAATCAACTATCAGCTATCAGTTTCAGTCATCAGTTATAAGTTAAATCCTATCGACAATTATTAGTTATCTGATTAGTTGAATTTACATTGGATCTAAAGCCATTTGATAAAAACCTTAACGACATCGGCTGACCTCAATACATCACATCGGCTTATTGGTTGATCGGCTCTTTGATCTTATACAATCTGTCTACCTATGTTGTTAGTTGCTGGATTTAGAACCTGCACTGAAGCTAAGCAGATCTCCTAGGCCTTCGTGTGTTGGTGCAGATTTTTGCATCAACAACTATACCGATGGCTGGGCTCGAATAGGATGCACCTGAAACCAAGTATGGCCTATTGATATAATCTTTTGCAGGTTCATGTCGATGAAAATAGACCGACTCATGAATTATTCACATGCGTGGCGAGGTTTGGGTGGGTGGGTCTATGTGAACCATCTAGGCCCCTGTTGTTAATTTTGGTTATTAATGACAAGCAATAATTATGAACTAACTATTTTAATTGAGCGATATTTTTTAGTTAGAACCACACGTTGTACATGCCATGGACGATCACTGCGGATTAAAATTGATGGCGCAAAGAAATGGAACAAAGACGGTATATCTAGCATTTTATTTTCAATCGATTGATGAGTTGTGCGATCGAACTTTTGCTAGGTTTATTTCTAGCTTTGCCGTACTTTCAAGAAGGGTAATGACCTTGGTAAAATGATGATAAAAATGCCACATTAGGTCATTTGCATCAACACTTGTTTCAACAAAATTTTCTTTGATCATTTGTTGGCCATTGGCGGTCTGACCGGGATGCCAAGGAGCCGGGAGGCTGCCCTCGGCTTGGCAATACAGAGCCGCTAGAGCCGATGCCGGTGTTGTTGGAATTAATGAATGGGCCTTAGCCCACTCGAAGATTAATTCTTTGGAAAATCACAAAAGCCCACCTCATGGGATGGTATGCATGTGGAGTTTAGTACCACCTTGCTTATTCTAGGAGAGGGGGACCTCCTTAAAAGGGAGGATGCCCTCCTAGCCACTTGAAGCATGTGTAGTGGAGAGAAGAGGGGAAACACACGCGCGCGCTCGCTCGCCTCGCCTCGCCGGGCCGGGCCGGTGGCGCGCGTGCACGACGTACGCGTCGAATGGTCCGAAAAATTGGCTCCTCACCCTTGCGCAGATGCAGCCTCCTTTTGCAGTTTTGTTTTGCTGCAAATTCGGATTCGTTTTTGTTTTGGAAACGTTCCGAAAAATCCGGTGCGTGCAAACGGCGTGGAGTCCGGATAAGTTACGCGCGACTTATCCGGTTCGGTTACGCGCAGTAGAGATCGTGCGGGCGCCCTGATCAAGCGACCCTTCTCTATATAAACCGACTTGTCGTCTTCACGCAACACTTGCGAAATCAATCTAGGGTTTATCTCCTACTTTGTACTGCGCCGTCGCTCGTAGACTACTCCATCCCGCTCGCCGGCGTGCACCGGCGATCGGGAGAGCAGGTCTCCGGAACCTCTGCCTTCGACGTTCTGCACCGGGAGAAGGCGGCAATAAGGTTTTTGGGAAGCGCTTCGCGCGACTGCTCCCTGTTCGTTCGCGACGGCTCGCCTTCCTCTTCGCTCGCGTGTTTCGTGCCTTCGTAGACACCTGCGAAAAGTTTCGACCAAGCAACCGGTCTTTCCGTCACCTCGGTACGTGTTCAATACGTTGCGCATATTTGATCTGTTCATGTTGTACTGTGTAGTTTACATGTATAGATCTAATGATGCGTTCATGCTAGTTTTCATCTGTAATGTCATGATTTATTTATGGAATAGATTAAATCATTATATGTCTATAATCTCAACAATCCAAAAACCTTATTATAGGCACTGTGATTTTACTATGGCTGGTTTTGCCGATGCACTGAGGCCGGATAAATTCACCGGTGTGCATTTTAAGAGATGGCAGATCAGGGTCACTCTGTGGCTGACAGCTATGAAATGCTTCTGGGTGAGTACTGGCAAACCTGAAGGAGTTCTTACTGCTGAACAGCAGAAGCAATTCGAGGAAGCCACTACTCTCTTTGTGGGATGCATTCTTAGCGTTCTTGGCGATCGTCTGGTCGAGGTGTATATGCATATGACCGACGCTAAGGAGTTGTGGGATGCACTGAATACTAAATTCGGTGCTACTGATGCTAGCAATGATCTGTATATCATGGAGCAGTTTCATGACTACAAAATGGCTGACAACCGTTCTGTAGTCGAACAGGCTC